GCCCGGGGTGGGGTGGGGGCGGCGGCGGGAAGTGGGGCGCGCTCTGCCTGCTCCCCCTTTCCTGCTCTGATGGGATAAAACGCATATGTCTCCTGACAGGCTCGCAAGATGCTGCTCATGATCTGGACACCATGAAAAAATATGGGGTAAGGTGTGATGGGATGGGGCTTGGTTGGTTTTTTTTTAATCGTGTCTCACTTCAAACATATGAACAGGTGGGGCTTGTCCAACTTCTGCCAACTTTGTCCTGCCCAGCCAGTACTTTAGCTCAAAAGTGTGTTTCAGAAAGGTTGCGGCGAGAGCAAAGAATCAAAGCAAAGTTTGTGGCACCTCTAATGTAATACGTAAATAGCGGTAGTTCAGGAGAGCTCAAGGCGGTGTGTTTTTCTGCATCTTTTGTTGTCCACGCCTCAAAAATAGGTTGCCGAGCATTATAAGAAATTGCAAAATACGCTCCGATGCTTTATCTAGGCACACTTGCATGGAAGGAAACACTATGAAAATCTATGAGACGTGAACCGCAATCCCAGGCACTCCTTACTCAAGGAGTAAAGCCGACAACTCAATAGGTCTGCACTCCTTACTCAAGGAGTAAAGCCGACAGCTCAACAGGTCTTGTTCTCCTGAAAATAAGACATAACCTGAAAATAAGCCCTAGTATGATTTTTTTCAGGATGCTCGTAATATAAGCCCTGCCCCCAAAATAAGCCCCAGTTAAGTGAAACCTTGCCCTCCACCCTTGTGCAGCAACCAGAAGAAGATGGCATGACTGTATTTGAATAAATGTAGATTGTTGTACATGAAAGAAATAAAACATCCCCTAATGTGTTTTCTGGAGCAAAAATTGATATAAGGCCCTTTCTTATTTTTGGGGAAACATGGTAGAAAGTAAATGTTTAGGATTAACATGGAGGTTTGCATGATTTTTCATCTCCTGTACTTAACATTAAGTAAAACAAATTATGGATTGTCCTAAAGGCTACCTGTTGAAAAAGTATTCTCAATCCTGCTAGGATATAAATGGAAGAAAGGTTTTGTGGCATGTTTGTTAGCTCTTGGACTGAGGTCCACAACCATAACAGATGCAGAAGAGTGCAAAGCTGGCTTGTTATCTCATTGTATTGGTCTTCTGTATTTCAGGTCACCCATGTTCTAAATGTGGCCTATGGAGTTGAAAATGCCTTTCCTCATGACTTCACATATAAAATGATCCCTATCCTAGACCTTCCTGAGACCGACATTGTCTCCTATTTCCCAGAATGCTTTGAGTTTATTGAGGAGGCCCAGTTAAAGGTAACTATTGCTGTGTGTGATTTCTGATTGCGGGTGGCAGTAGGGGAAAAAATTGAACACAGTGACCTTTTTTTTGTACAGTGCACCGCACAGTATTATGTTTAAGATGGTTCCCTGATGAAATAAATTAAAATATCTTGATCTCCCACTCTTAAAGTCTGACCTTAAAATGAACTCTTTAGTTATTTTAAGTACTTCGTATACTGTTTCAAGCCCTTTTTGTTCTTATATGACTGAGCAGATAAGCAGAATCACAAAAATAGGGGCCCTTGACTAAACTGGGTTTGATTTGTTTGATCTGAACATTTTATTTTTAAGAAGTTAATTATTTTTAAAAGTAAAGCTGTCATATACTTGCACTGGTTAGGCTTTATCTAGAGTACTGTGTTCAGTTTTGGAAACTGTACTTTAAAAAGGATGCCAGCAAACTAGCAAGTTCAGAGGAGAGCAACAGGGATGATAAGGGGACTGGAAACGAAGCCCTGTGAAGAAAGTCTGAAAGAACTGGGCATGTTTAGCCTTGAGAAAAGAAGACTTTGTGTGTGGGGAGAGATATGATAGCACTTTTCAAATTCTTGAAAGGTAGTCCTACAGAGGAGCGGCAGGATTTGTTCTCAATCATCCCAGAGTGCAGGACATGTCATAATGAATTCAAGTTACAGGAAACCAGATTTAGGCTGAGTATCAGAGGGGATGTCTTAACTGTTAGAGCAGTACAACGATGGAACCAATGATCTTAGGAGGTGGTGAATGCTCCAATGCTGGAGGCATGATCCAAGAGAAAATTGGACAGCCATTAGTCAGACCTGCTTTAATTTGGATTCCTGCCTTGAACAGGGGTTTAAACTTGATGGCCTTGTAGAACCCTTCCAATTAAATTATTTTACGATTCTATGAAAAACTAAGCTTGACATTCATGAAGGTAAATGTTATGAGAATTCTGCACACTACTTCCAAGTACTGTGAACAAGTAACATATTGCTTGGGTATACCTATGGATGTGGGGGGAAGTTAGAATGATTATTTTATAATCATTCTAGGTTACCTCCACATATCTAATATCTTGTATAAGGAAATCAGAGCTTGATGAGTTTCATATACTCTGCCCATTTGATGCTACATGTTGACAATCTTTCAAGCCCAGCTCCAGATTATTCCATGAGATCTACCAACCATTTCCATTATTCACATAGTTTGGAATTAAGAAAGATAATATGGCTCCATCAAGCTTTGTGTTATTTTAGAAGGAAAGAATATGGTGTATTGTTTACAAGTTACCTGAAACGAGTATTCATTCCATGCCCTCCTGGAGGGTTCCAGTTACAGTTTCCACTTCATTTCTAAATTAGCATCAGCTGCTTAATGCCACTGTTCTGCTCTGGGAGTTTAAATTTTCAGTACGTCCCCCTAAGTGCTTTTATCATCTTTTCCTGACAGTTCCAATACTTCATAATATAAGATGGTTTTGTCAGACAGCCTGAACAGTCAGATAATTTATTCTCCTTTCAAGAAAATTTCTCACCAGACAATGGAGGGCCAATTAATAAAGCATGAGGTTTTTAACTGCCTTAGGAAGATAAGCAAACCTAGAGTTGAAGCCCCCCCCCCCCCTCAGGAAATGAATTTGAACCAGATCTGAAGTGTATGCCCTCAATAAGGAAGATCAGGATTGCAGTACAGTATTTTCTTTCTCCGGACTCATTCATGTGATTTAGAGTACTGTATACAACTGCATAGATGTAAGAGGCAAATGAAAGAGCAGACAATCTAGTGTTCTCCATGTGTTTCAGACTAATGCAGCCATAATCCTTAACCACTGGCTATGTTGGTTAGGGCTTATAGGAGTTGAAGTCCAAAACACCTAAAAGGCACAATTTTGTTTAATTTTGAGTAGTGGTATGTGAATAAGGCTGCCACAGTTTGATACCTAATCCTTCCTTCTCTTTTCCTGGCATGTCCCGGAAGAGATGAAAACACCTGCTTTTAGAGTTAAAACAACTGCACTTTGTCACTGCATCTAACAAAGACATCCATCCATGTGGTTAACTGAAACAAGAAAAGAGCGATCTGTTTTCCTTGTCCCTGGGTTTTCCAATGAACCATAGTTTAAATTAAACTCTGTTCCTAGTTTGGATGCATCTAATAAGATACAGTGGGGTCTTGACTTGAGAACTTAATCCGTATTGGAAGGCGGTTCTCAAGTCAAAAAGTCTGTAAGTCAAGTCTCCAATGACCTACAGTGCATTGAAAACCGATTAATCCCGTAACAGGCCGTTTTTGTTCCATTTCGGGTTTTTTCTGGTCTGTAAGTCAAATCTCAGTCTGCAAGTCAAACCTAAATTTTGCGGCCAGAGAAGTCTGTAACTCAAAAAGTCTGTAAGTCAAGCCATCTGTAAGTCAAGGGTCCACTGTAAGTGGTTTGAATCAAGAACTGAACACTTTCAGCTGTTGTTCTTATATGAATTTTGAGAAAGAGAACACTGGGGCCCAAAGCTTGAACAGCATTTTTCACATAACACTTTATTTTTAACCAAGCCCAGCTAGAGTAGTTTGGCATGCAGTTATTCACTGGGACCTAAAGAGCCTCCATATGCACAGCAAACATTTCCATTCTGGGAGAGACATTTCCCAAAAGAATAACTTCATTGAGAATGGTGTGTGACTGCTGTCCTGCCCCCGCCCCCCTTGAACGCTACTGGAAATGGCTTCCTATTTCTCAAGGGGTGCAGTGGGATAGAGTGGAAAGAGATACAGCAACTCTAGTGTACCCTTTTCTTTGTTTTAATTTAATAAATAAAAAACTTACATGTCACATGCCATCTTAAGAAGGCTACCCTAGGCCAATTAGATCTTGGCCATTGACTTGAAGCAATGGTGAGCTGCAAAGTCTGCATTTGAGTGAAATAAAAATATGGCACAAACTTCCATAGATCTCAGTTGTTTGCAAAGTGGATAAAAATCAATGATTTAAAAATGTATATCATGATTTAACTAAAACATTTTTGTTTAAATAGAAAATCTGTTTTTTTTTTTTAAATTTAAATTATGATTTAAAACAATTTGATTTAAATCAAATCCATCCCGGTTGTTTGATAAGCCATTCAGTAGCTACATTTTAACAGAAGGAGAAATTAACTGCCAATTCAGTGTAGGCTTATTGTGCTGTTAGGATTGTCCTTGCAGCCTAAAATAGCTAATGCAGAAATGATCAAAACATTTACTTAGAATGATTTGGTGTTTGGGTTACATTTTAATACAGATCCATAGTTCTTGAGCCAAAGCACAGACTGGAAGGCATTTAGATCTCAAAGTACTCAAAAGTACTTTGCATTACTGTTTTTTGCGGGGAGGGGGGGCTTTCCCATGCATATAGAACTATTGCACCCACTGTATCCTTCTGTCCTGGTGGTGGTGGTTCCAGGAAGATGGTGGAGTCACCGATTGTGGCAGGTAAATCGGGGGATAGCAGAAGTAGACCACTGGCTCCTCTTGGTCAAGCATGGATTTGAGGGAAGACTAACGAATGCTTAACTGGGAGGACTCAATCCAGACTTCACTGCAACTGTCTTCTCTGAAGTGCTGATCAAACCTGATCAAACTAACAGTACTGTCCATTGGGAATGACCCACTGGACACCTTAGGCAGAGGTGAATGCATGCAGTCTACAAGGATTTCGGTTCAGGGTGAATGCAGGAGAGAGAAGGAGAAATCATGTGCAATACACTGCAATTTACATTTGGAGAGGCTATTTCAAATGATTTTTCCAAGTGTTACTTGGTTATAGTTAATATACACATGTATGAGAAGACCAGGGACGTGGTGGTGCTGTGAGCTAAAACACAGAAGCCTGTGCTACAGGGTCAGAAGACCAGCAGTCGTAAGATCGAATCCACGTGACGGAGTGAGTGCCCATCGTTTGTCCCAGGTCCCGCCAACCTAGCGGTTTGAAAGCATGCAAAATGCAAGTAGATAAATAGGGACCACCTCGATGGGAAGGTAACAGCGTTCCGTGTCTAAGTCGCACTGGCCATGTGACCACGGAAGATTGTCTTCGGACAAAACGCTGGCTCTATGGCTTGGAAACGGGGATGAGCACTGCCGCCCAGAGTCGAACATGACTGGACAAGGGGAACCTTTACCTTTACCTATGAGAAGATTGCATTGAGTAATTTATTTTTGATAGTGGCTTTCTAAATGTGATCTTTTCCTCTCTTTCTTGGAGGTTGTCAAGGGGAACCTTTACCTATGAGAAGATTGCATTAAGTAATTTATTTTTGATAATGGCTTTCTAAATGTGATCTTTCCCTCTCTCTCTTGGAGAATGGTGTGGTGCTTGTTCACTGTAATGCAGGAGTTTCTCGAGCAGCAGCGATCGTAATTGGCTTCCTAATGCATTCAGAAGGACTCAGTTTTTCCAGGGCTTTTTCTTTGGTGAAAAATGCAAGGCCTGCTATTTGCCCAAATCCTGGTTTTATGGAGCAACTTCACAAATACCATCAGTGCAGTTACAAAAATGGAAACTTTAATGATGCAGAAGGATGAAAGAGGACGAATTCAACATTGTTTCCATTGTTATGAGAAAAAACTGAACTTTTTTCGCCTGCAGTGTAATGGGAGATGTTTGGAATTGCTAGAATTGTCAATGTAGAATGTACATTTAAGTGTATAATTTTAAATCTACTTTTCCTTAGAAAAGTAAATTGTCTTCAAAAAAATACATCTTGTTTTTTTACCAGACCAATATGGTGTGTGAATTAAGCCTTGGGGAGAATGCAGCTCTGAGGGTGTTGGGTGTGTAGATCCAGAGTGAGGCTGGCTTGTAGCCCATACATGTCAGAGGCAGTGTGGAGGGTAATCCCAAACAGGCAGGAATCAAGTTCTAAGAGAGGCAAATAAATGCAGCTGAGCGAGAAACACCACCTGCTTTATGTTTCTTGGCCATGCTATACGGTACCAGAGGCCCACATTTGGAACTGTCTGCTAGTCCCAAACCCAAATAATTCACTACTATAGTAATGTTGGTGGCTGGCTCTGGAGATTGGAAAAAAGAGAAAGGAATCACATATTTTCCCTTCCTTCTGAAGCACCCCTAAATTGAACAGGGCAAGAGAGTTTTAAAACTGTGTAACATGTCTTTTGCAAGCCTCTGTCCAAGATATGTCTTATTAGGGGCTCAATCAAACTACAGTGGTACCTCACTAGACCATTACCTCGCTAGACCATTGCCTCGCAAAATGAGGAATTTGCTAGATGATGACTTTTTTGAGCAATGTTGTGCTTCGCAAAATGATTGTTCCTATGGGCAATTTTCACTGGATGATGTTTGGGTCCTTGCCTCGCAAGATGATTTTTTTTTACGCTTTTTCACAAGATGGTTTTCCCCCATTTTTTTACCCTGTTTCACAAGATGGTTTTTCCCCACATTGGAACAGGTTAATTACATAAGACCTACTTTTTAATCCCAAAAAAGTGGGAGAGAAAGTGTATGCTGCTGGCTTTCCAGGGTCTGCCTCTTGGAAAAATAGCAGCATACACTTTCTCCCCCAATTTTTTGGGATAAAAAAAGTGGGTCTTATGTAATTAATATATTTCAATAGGGGGCAAACCATCTTGAAAAGCATTGCCAATGGGGCTATGGATGCAAATTTAAATGGTAGAGGATGGTGAAAACAGCCAGGAACCAAAGGGTAAAGATATTGTAAAAAACCCCAGGGAAATCACAAATGTACTCCCCCATTAACACAAATTATGCAGTTCCTCACATTTAGGAAAATCACAGGGATCAGCAGTACAGGGGCCAGCCAGGAACCAAAGGGTAAAGATATTGTTAAAAAAAAAAACACCAAAAAAACAGGGAAATCACAAATGTAATCCCCCATTAACACAAATTATACATTTGAGTTCCTCACATTTAGGGAAATTACAGGGATCAGCAGTACAGGGGCTAGGTGTTCCTCCCACAATTAGGGTAAGGTATTAGTATTAGCATATGCTAATACTTGTGCACTAGAGGATTGTGGAAGGAACACCTAGCCCCTGATGAGGGTCCCACAGGGCACCCCAAAACACTGAGGAGCTCTCTTGGCCTCTGGCAGGACTGGGGCTGTGCAGCCCTGTACTGAGTGGGAGGTGCAGCCACGGGGTCACCATGCCTTGGGGGGTCAGGGGACAGAAGGGGGTATGAGGTGCAAGGGCCATTCCAACTCATACTTTGCAGATACCATGTCATAAGAGTGGTTTTCCCAGGGGGCAGCTCATCCATTGTACTTTGGGTATGCTGCTGATCCCTGTGATTTCCCCAAATGTGGGGAACTCAACTGCATAATTTGTGTTAATGGGAGATTGCACTTGTGATTTCCCTGATTTTTCTAGATTCCTTCTCATCTCTCTTTCTCCTCATCAGGACCTATTGCAAAGGCAGCAAGTCCTAGTGATGTAGTGTATTCTTCTTCTCTGTTTCTCCCTAGTTTTAAAGGAGCTTCCTCTTTTTCTTCCCAGTGGTAAAGGAGCAGGGCAAAAGCAGTCACCATTATCAGAAGCCAGGGGGCTGCTTTGACTCCTTTCATCCTCTTTGTTGCTAGAGAGAGGAAGAGGGGAAAGGCCATCTGAGACCCATTGAATTTCACAAGGCAGTGCAGGTGAGGGGATTGCTTTTCCCCAATGATATGTGGGACTGTTTTGTAAGACAAAAGATGGTATGGGGAACTGTGTTTTGCAAGATGATGTCTTCTAAGGACAATTTTCACAAGATAGTGATTTTTTTCCCCAATTGGAATACATTAAATAGATTTTAATGCATTCCGATGGGGAACTGGGTTTTGCAAGACGGCAATTTCCACAGAATGAATTAAAATCGTCTTGCGAGGCACCACTGTAGTTTTCTTCCTCCACCATCCTGCCATTTTCATATCACATACAATGATTCCTCTACTTGTCTGTATCTTGATACTGGGTGGGATTTACATTTAGGCCAATGCAACTGGGGTAAAAGAAGCAGACTGGCCTGAACCGCCTGCTGGCAGCCCTCCCACCTGAAAATGTTTCATAATGGGACCCTGCTGCCCGTGGGAGACTACAGTGCAGGAGGGGAGGCCAACTCTCCCAAATTCAGGCAGAGGCACTTTCTTCAAAATACGTAAGTCCTGAATCCAACTGGGGATATACAAATTCCCTGGGTGCGGTAGAAATGAGTATACACTTATTCTTGAATTTTACCAGTATAGATTGATTACAGATCTTAAACACCCTTTCTTGAATTTTACCAGTATAGATTGATTAGATAACAGATCTTAAACACCCCTATTAGAGAGAACTATGAAGACAAAGCCTTCCTGCCAGGTGGCATTCCCTCACTGAAAAAGAGAAAGACAGTATTGCTGACACCCAGGATGATCACATGCTGTATGTTATTAGAGGCTGTTCATATGGGTGGTACTGATGCTTGGGTGCTACTTAAACTGATCTCAACTACCTTTAATCGTCAGGGTTCTCTGCACTGTATATTCCTTGGCCTGGATGATGAAATGTATGTTGAGGCAATAATTGCATCTTGAAGTAGTTGCTTTAATTCACTCAGAGGGTTAAATGTTGAGTGGCTTTCTATTTTGGGGCACAGAATTTTAAACACGGTGGTTGGTAGAACTCCATACAGCAACTCTCAAGAGTTTCAATAGTTGCTGACACCAATCTAAAGCTTTCTGCCACTATACCCGCTTAGAAAAAGCTTGTTTTTTTTCTAAATAGACAAATAGCTTTCCACTTCTCTTCAACGTAAACACTTGATCTTTCCTCACCTTGACAAATTCTGAGATTGGCTTTATATGCCCCCACACATAGCCCAACAGTGCCTAGATGACTGTAATGGGATGAGATTGGCTTTATATGCCCCCACACATACCCCAGCAGTGCCTAGATGACTGTAATGGGGCATCCTGGTTGAACCCAGAAAAGGGGGACTGCCAGCAGGAAATGCCAGCAGTGTTGGGGAAAAAGAGGACAAGTCACCCTGGGGAGTGGGCAGTTACCCAGGTTGGAGCAGCAGCTAGCTTGTAGTGGGTGGGGATTTTACCCACAGCATGGGGCACAATGCAGTTAAGTTGCATGATCTTGGAGTAGTGGAAGAAAGATAAAAGGAGAGGGGCAGCAAACTGAAGTATGGCACCTCTAGTATTGTGAGCAAAAGGGCCATTCTCTTACTTACAGGGGACTTTAAGGAAGCCCCATGAAGGGTAGGTTGTTGTCCTCTTTCACATTTATACTGTAGTTACTTTTATATATACTTTCCCCCTCCTGAGTTCCTACCATGGTTTCCTGAGAATAAGAGAGGGTATTATATTAATTTTTGCTTCAAAAATGCATTAGGGCTTATTTTCAGGGGAACTTTTTTTCATGTACAACAATCTACATTTATTCAAATGCAATCATGTCATCTTCTAGTTGCTGCACAATGGTGGAAGGTGGGCTTTTACTTAACTGGGGCTTATTTTGGGGGTAGGGCTTATATTACAAGCATCCTGAAAAATCATACTAGGGCTTATTTTCAGGTTAAGTCTTATTTTCATGGAAACAGAATCTCCAGCCTTTACCCTCCCTTTTCTGTCCCCCTCATCCTTGCTCAGGCTTGATGTCTGTTTTCAGTCTCCTGGAACTGAATGCTTATCACAGAAACCTAAACCAAACAGGCCATAAATCACTGCATGTGAAATGTACCACACACCCAAGACTTCTACAGACAATGAATATTTAGAATGTTTTACTTGTGCATGTGGTATTTCATTTATTACTTCATTCCGTTTCCATATGTCTGATGAAGTGGACGTGTCCATGAAATCTCACATTAAAATATAAGTTAGACTTTAAGGTACCACATGTTTTTGTCCTTTTGTTTTTGTTTCTTTGGATTTTGCCAGTAATGGCAAAGAAGCTTTTCTACAGATCCACATTCCAGGTGGGAGTGGTGTGGACTGACAATGCCCTCTCCCTGAGAGAACAGACTCTCACCGGGCACACTAGTTGGTGGGCAAGAGAGCAGTCCTGCTGCCGCCTTGGCCAGGCCTCCCCAAACAGACTCCTTCTCAGCCCAGGAAGATGAGGGGGGTCGGTCTCTGTTGGCTTGCAAGCCTCCTATATCTATGCCTCTGCCTTCTGCCATGACCTTCTTCTAGGGTGGTGTCTCTGGAAGACAGGCCCCTGCCATGCTGCTCAACACAGGATCCTGGAAAGTTTGTTACGGAGGTGATGGACACCCATAGGGGTGCCTTCCCCTCCGACCCCAAAACCTGACAGGTTGGCTGAAGAAAACTCAGCCTTAACAGACTTGAGGGCACCGAAGACTGATTGGAATATAGGAATTCTGGAACGTTCAGGGAGGGAAAAACCGTTGGAAGGGACCGTTTGGGCCGGTGAGGAGGAGATTAAAAGGGGGGAGTGGCGGAGGCAGTGGCAACAGTTGCTGAGGCGCGCTGGGCAAAGGAAGAGGAGAAGGAAGCGGTAGAAGATGATAGAAAGAATGAAAGAGAATCCATGAGCAGGAGAATGGGTCACTTTTAAAGTACAGTACTGAGAGAGAGCAGAGGAGTAAGGAGGTGTGGAAATCTTATTAGGGAGTAATGGCAGGGAACAGATGCAGAAGGAAGAAAAGCATCGAGAGAATAGAGAACACCAGGCACGTCTTAACTTCTCTCGGGGGATCAGTCCTGGGAGCAGACCTCCCCCCTCACAAGGTTCTGGCCAAGTAG